AGATAACCTAGTCTCATATAAGCGCAGAATACTTTTTTACTATATTTATCACTTCAGCAGTGAAATGCTTATTTGTTTTACTTCATTCAGTTGATCAGAAAGGTAGTTAACACAGTAAATCTTCATTTAAATTACTACAGTCATCCTATTAAATGCCTTTAATTCAGTATAAAGTTAAAATGTCTTTATTTACAATGCATCATTAGTTGGATTGTGATTTTGTGTCCAAGTGAAATTATCCAAATTAATTAGAATCCTTTAATTTAATAGCCATTGAATTTAATCTATATATAATTAGATCAATTTAAGTGTAAATCAGTTCTTATAATGTCATAACCAGTGAATCTTTTCTACAATAATTCTCTTCTCTTTCATATCATCTCATAAAGAGACTATCTCTGACGTATCTTGCATTAGATGTAAGATCTAACCGATTTGTATGAATCTTATTTAGTATTAGTGTAGTTAATCAAACACGGGTGGAGACAATCAAATGTATCAGTCTCAATATTATAGAGACTTTTGGTAAAATAGAAAAACCATATAGTAAATCGTTAATTCGCAAAATATCAGTCCATCATATCAAACCGTACTGTTTTTGTTGCAATTATCAATTCATTGTCTCATATTTCATTGTTCGTGCGTTTTCTTACAAATTGCATTGTTTTCCCGCTCTTCCTTTCTTGATCTTTCCCCATCTTCTGCTGCCAGACATTACGTTCTTTAACTCGTGTCATATACTACTTATATCAATATAAGTAGCACGCACCATATTAGAAGTATCAAACAATCATCCTTAATTGGAAAACTGCATAAACATTCTTAAAACACAACAAAAGTAAAGTATTGTTCAATAGTGTTTAGTTGTTTGATTTTTATTACTATAGATTTCAACTTGATGTATACATCAACTTGTTTTTGTATTACCTTACATTTATTTATTTAACATTTTTAATTTTGTTTGTCACGAAGCCTTTTTGGTTAACAACTCAAGTGCTTATATTTAATTAAATCTATTGAAGATTACAAAATCAGGAATGGAAATATGCGTTCATGATAAGGTCTATTCTTGATGACACGGTTTTAATAAACTAAATAAAAGTGAATACTAGTTTACTTTAAGATAACCTACAGAAAATGGAACTAAATCGATTCAGTAATAAATAAATATATCAACTCTGAACGTATTCTATCTCCATCTCTCTATTCTATCACTATACATCAGTAATAGTATAGTGAACACGAACACCAGATAGAACAATCAAATGTATTTACCACAAAATTACAGGACTTGTTAATAAAATCTAACAATCAAATAGTAAATACTTAATTTGCAAAATGTCAATCAATTGTCTCATAATGACCCAGACTTCATTGTTCTTGCATTTTCATACCAATTGCATCCTGTTCCCATTCTTTACTGTTTGATCCTCTTGGCTCTCTGCTGCCAGACATTCTGTTTCTGACTAACATCATATACTACTTAGGTCGATATAAGTAGCACACACCACAACAATAAGTCATTGCAACTACTACATAAATTGAATATCGATTACTTAATGAATATTATATATAAGAAATTATGATTAGTATTGCATTAATTGTGCACACAAATAGATAGTCTATTTCAGTAATCAGTTCTCTATTTTTATTTGCATTTTATAAATTATCTATTCTTAAAGTTGAAGAATAATTTGTTGAAACGTTCAGTAAAAAAACTCGTCGAAATATATTGTGTGTTCTTTTGTTTTCTATTTGACACGTCTGCTGGGTGAATCTTTATTCCATTGTTAATGTTTACATTGAACCTAGTACACTTAGTCATGAACGTCAATGCGTTACTGATTGAGTTACTGAATTTAGATAGCCATTAGATTATTAAACAGGTTTCATGTTTATTTTGTTATTTGTAAGAGTTTAAGTTATTCCATTGTAACTTCTTAGGACTGAATTTCGATCAGTTTTTTTGTTGTTGGTTTTTGTGAATTTATTTTCATGGGACCGTTTTAAATAATCACAACACTATGGAAGCATCTTTGATACTACGGCGTGCCTCAGAAAATGGTCAATATAATACAGAGTTCATAAGATGGATTACACTGCAAAATCGTGCATGGAGGACAGTTGACAAAGTCGTTCCAAGTAAAGACCGGTGCCAGGTAAGGTTGCTTACTCTCACCCTTTCTCTTTATCCTGATGATCGACTGGATCATGAAGACGTCAACATCTGAAGGGAAACACGGGATACAATGGACATCTAGGATGCAGTTGGACGATCTACACTTCGCTGATGACCTGGCCCTTCTATCCCAAACGCAACAACAAATGCAGGAGAAAACGACCAGTGTAGCAGCAGCCTCAGCAGCAGTAGGTCTCAAAGGGAAAAGCAAGATTCTCCGATGCAACACAGCATGCACTAATCCAATCACAACTGACGGAGAAGATTTGGAAGATGTAAAAACCTTTACATATTTGGGCAGCATCATTATTGAACGTGGTGGATCTGATGCAGATATGAAGGCGCGGATCGGAAAAGCAAGAGCAGCATCTGGAACCCAAAAGAATTGGCAACCAACACCAATGTCAGGATTTTCAGTACAAATATCAAGACAGTTCTACTGTATGGCGCGGAAACCTGGAGAACTACGAAAGCCATCATCCAGAAGATACAAGTGTTTATTAACAGTTGTCTACGCAAAATACTTCGGACTCGTTGGCCGGACACTATTAGCAACAACCTGTAGTGGGAGAGAACAAACCAGATTCCAGCAGAGGTAGAAACAGGAAGAAGCGCTGGAAGTGGATAGGACACCCAACTGTGTCACAAGGCAAGCACTTCACATAGAATCCTCCAGGTCAAAGGAAAAGAAGAAGACCAAAGAACACATTACACCGAGAAACGGAGACAGACATGAGAAGAATGAACAAGAATTGGATGGAACGAGAAAAGAAGGCCCAGGACAGAGTGGGTTGGAGAATGCTGGTCAGCGGCCTATGCTCCATTAGGAGTAACAGGTGTAAGTAATTAAGTTTTAAATAATCAATTCGTTATAAGTTTTTAGAATATTTTTATTGTAACAATCCATATTGATGTGATCTGCTCACGATGTTCATATATCATAGAACTCTGATTATAGTTCAATATTATAGACGATTTAGACGTTAACTAAGATTACTAAGAACACAATGAATCAATCAGAAAATGTGATTCGCGTTTTCATTTCATATTCGTCTTAATATTACATTGGAATTAGTTCTTTCTTACTTATTCTGTTCGAAAACTTCTCATAATCTGAATCCTCGATAACATAATTGTTTTGTATGAAAGTATATCCTTACATTACAACAAAAATTGGTATATTTTTTTGAGAAAATAAATAGCACATGATTCTGTGTATTGATTAAGATATGACATTTATACATCATGAAATGGTTATTTATCAAAACAATGTTATTAACGTCACAAATTTCAATAAAAAGAAATTACCCAAAATGTGTAATTGAGCAAATAATCAACTATGATACATTATAGATCAATATTTTCTCTTTGAAATTTTATAATATAACACAAGAAAGAAAAACAAAACAAAAAAACCTATAATGAACTAAACAGTTGCCAAGTAACAATGAAAGAATAATCGATTTTATTGAAGATAGTTAATATTTAAGATACAAACGTTCTGTTAATTTAATGAGCGGAAAAAAATATTCTTTAGTAATGGTGGTAATTCGTTCAAGCAGACAAAAATTTCAACGTCTTTGATACAACTTGATTGTCCAAAAATATCTTTCGAACTATTTCATCGTATTGAATACAGTAAGTGAATGGTTTCAATTTAGTGCAACAGTTAATAGATAAACTTCGTCTGCTTTAATGGTGTTATAATACTGTTAGTTTTTGACAACCTAAGTTGAATATTCTTAAGTTGAACAAACAAATCTATATTTGGTATTGCTTAGTTCATTGATATCGTATCTAGATACACTAGAACATTGTTAAAAACACATGAACTGGAGACTTGAAAACTGATTGATTAGAAACTAACATAAATGCTACTAAAACTTATCAGGACTGTAATGCAATTAGAATCGAATCACGACGTGCCTTGATGCAGGTAAGAAGCCAAACGCCACAAACATAAGGACCAAAGCATTCTGTGAAAAAAGGGAATTCATCTTTACTGCAACAAATCTGTTATTCATATAAAATTGAATTCATTAAGTATGGGTTAATTTTATATCACGTTGATACAGAACTAAATGTCACACCGAATTATATATGAATATAAAGGTCATACTGAATTCAATGAACAATACGTAATGTTTGGTTAGCACGCGATAACACATTCAATCGAAGGTTTTATTCCGAAAAAAAATAAATTATCAACTGACTCTACATTTATTTCCTTCCTAATAAAATCATAATGTAATTTGCTCATGAGTTCATACACTGGCTAGAATGTATGACTACTGAGATTAAAAAGTTGTGGAGTATTATAAAACTATTTGGTTGTAGAAACAAAAAAGAAAATAGAAGTGCTTATTTTCAATTATGATCTCATAGGATACATGATCCAAAAACAAGGACTTGATATTAATATATTATAATGTCATGATAATGCCTGATATATCAGTTTTCTGCTACGTCCCAGGAAATCTCAATAAATCATTCAATGAATCCACCGATAACTATCAACTAGAATCTAGGTTATCTAAGATATTTTACAGTAGCTTGAAGTGCTCAGTACATATAGAATTTTTTACGGTTTATAAATGATTAGCATCTGTTATCAATTAGTAATACTTAGTTTAGTCACGCAGCGATAAGTGACACGAACTAATATAATCCAAGTTTGATACTCATTGAAGGATTTATATACTTAAGGTTCCGTCTCATGTCAAATGACTGATCAACCCTGATTAAATTATAAAGTAAATTATGTTAACTAATGGAGTTAGTGACAAACTACGACGTGTTTCCTCTTCTACAACCATGGAAATGCACGTTGTGAACATTAAAAATTGTGAAGGCTGAAATGTATTAACTTTACCATAAAGCCTACATGTGCTTACAAATTATTTCGAAATTGGTTGTTACCCTACACATCTTTGTTAATTATTCACTAGAAACATTGAGCGTTTATATATATGTGTGCGTGCTAGTGTACATACGGTTATATACTCGTATTTAGTACATTACTTATAAAAATTGAGTCACCCTTATTGCTTGCTGAGTCAGTATGTGGTTGGGGATAGACCCACGTTATCAAGTTATCTAAGTGTATCATAGTCAGTAATAACGGTTATGTTCTCATTTATGTAGTTGCTTAATTGTAGATATTTCGGAATAATTCCGCTTATGAAATTAAGGGGGGTACGTTTTTCGCTATGTTTTAATTTTTTTCTCTCATGATCAGTTGTGCTACATTTGATGACCGTAGGATGATGGAGCGGTACTTTCGTCGTACAAAACTACTTTTTTCGTGTAATTCAGCAGAAATGAGAGAAAGATACATTTTCTTCATCACGTATCACGATAGTGTTAATTGTAATTCCCGTTTAAATTTGGTTGGTTGCCCGGTGCAGCGTCAAGTTCCAAAAGAGAGTAGAGTTTATCCTCACCTCGGGATGTTACGTACTTCAAGGCTATATTTACTTATTGCAACTCCTATTGTTCATCTCTTATTTAATATTTTAATGTATGAAATAGATATATCCGAGACACTACCTGTATTCGATTTTATAACTCGTTCTGTTAATAACGAGATCAGTCAATAAAATAAGTACGATGTAAATAAGATTCACATTTCGTTCGTCGTCTCTCATTTATATTCAATTAAGAGTGATGAATAAAAGTCGCTGTTGTTTTATTCAAATGGTTAGACGTCGAAAATGTCGTTTGCATCGATAAACAATTGTTTGAAGCTAATATTTTTAAATATCACATAGCAAAAGGAAGTGTAAGGATATTCCTTAGTGGATTTTAACGATAATCTGTTTCTCTTACTCCTGGTTTGAACAAATACTTCATGCAAAAACATTTTTTATGACTTGATTTTCTGAAGGTAACGAAATATTCATGTGACAATTTTCTAAATTTCTGCGATTTTTTGAAAAACATTTTTACGTGATGATATAGCTGTCTTATCTGTTACCGCGTCACTTACTATTACTTACTTACGCCTGTTAATCGTTATGGAGCAAAGGCCGCTGACCAGCATTCTCTAACCCACTCTGTCCTGGGCCTGCCTTTTCAGGTCCATCCAATTCTTGTTCATTCTCCTCATGTCTATCTCCTTTTCTCGGTGTAATGTGTTCTTTGGTCTTCCTCTTTTCCTTTGGCATTGAGGATTCCATGTGAAGGTTTGACTTGTGACGCAGTTGAGTGCTTTCCTCAATGTGTATCCTATCCACTTCCAGCGCTTCTTCCTGATTTCTTCCTCCGTTGAGATCTGGTTTGTTTTCTCCCACAGTACGTTGTTGCTAATAGTGTCCAGCCAACGGATCTGAAGCATTTTGCGTAGGCAACTGTTAATAAATACTTGTATCTTCTGGATGATGGCTTTTGTAATTGTCCAAGTTTCCGCCCCATACAGTGTAAGTGTCTTGACATTTGTATTGAAAATCCTGATCTCCGCCTAGAGTCCCTCCGGGGGCTACTGCGGTCCCAAGCCCGGGGAAAAGAGGAGGGTTGGGCACGGAATTAGCGACCTCATCCCGTAGAAAACTAACTCGCTAGAAAAGGTCACTTATTATTGGCTGATACTTATCAGAATGTTCAGTGAAATTCCGTTGTAGGATCAACTTTAGAAAGCACTCCAAAATGAGTAGAAAAATATGAATTGGCGTAAAGCTACAACTTAAAGTACCACTTACAATCTTTTTCCTATTTGATTTGGTACTCATAAAATCATAAATATGCTCCACCATTTTCCAAATCATTCGTTTTCATAATTCACTTTATCTTGACAGGCACATTAATTAAGAAGGAATTTGCTTTTCCAGACAAAAAAGATGGTTGAAGATCAGAAGTTCTAATGGATACTAACTCAGTAACTTGTTGAACCGTCTGTAAATTTCTGTATGACTTAGTTGTTTTGATCACGTAAATCAATCATTTATTTTTCGTTTATTATCAATTCAAATTCGTTCTGATATAATATCACGCAAACATATAAATCTTACTGAATAAGTGATTTAACCAGTAGTAAAACCATCAGACTTATATATACATGTCATCTCATTTTTACTGTTTCCAAGCAACTCAAATATCGTCTTAGATGTATGATTTAGTGTATTGTACATAAAACAATGTTGCTGGCTAGTACTGACCTTGATTATAAAATTATGGATTTCAGAAAGCGAAGCCAAAATATTGTTGGGTATTTTACGAGGGACAATCCAAATTAGTTCATGCAAATACATAAGCATTCAAACTTTAAATAAAGTTGGAAAAATTGACTACCGTTAAGTAACCTACATGTCATTTCTAGACGGAATACAAAGACAAATAATTTTCGTTGTTTTTCAATGCTACATAATTTAGTAGATACAAAGATTTCTTTGACAAAACAAATTCTAAAATCTTAATAAACATTCTAATGATAAATTAATTACAAAGATTATCAATAAACTCTCACCAATAACTGTTAATATTTCTAGATAATTATAAAATTAATGGCGAATTATTTGCGTATAAATATTATTTGGACCGTTTGAAACATTATGTATTTTAGATGCTCTGTTGTGAGATAGTAACTCACTGAAGGCAATGATGGATGGTGGCTCAATTTCCTGGATTGGTTAAAGTTAGACATTAATATCGTTGAATGTGGAGAAGTGGTCTAATGGTTAAGCGCTCGTGCGCGAGACCGATAGGTTATGGTTTCGAATTCCATGGGCGGGGTCGTGAGCTCGCACTGCTGAGGAGTCCCATACTAAGACGAAACAGTCGTTCATTACATACAAGCTTTCCACGGTGGTGTAGCTTCAATTGACCCATGAATTCAACTGTTTACTTACTATAATATCCACAGAACGTCTTTCTGGTGAAAAAGATTTGATCGAATTGTAATTATAATTTGTTTCGTCACAAACTTACAAAATCAACTGAAGTGGTCAATATTTTCGAGACAAATCACTAAAGAGATAATAATGAAAACAAAATTCTTCATAAATGAAAGAAATAAGGTTGTGTTTGAATATTATAGGGTGGAAAAACAACTGAACGTAGGTTATTTTCATATTAAAAGTGTCTTGAATATCTACAACTCGATGATAATAATAATAGTTTAATATGAATATATAAAAAATCGTGATTGTTTGTCGTTACAAAACACATCTCTTATTTCTATTGAGTTATTTCAACCCAAAAAGTTTCTTGGTTTGAATCTTACATCAGTCGGTAATAGTTGGTTATATTTAATCGTTTATGTTAACAAAAGAAATCGTCTCACTTTATCGATTATGTTAGTAGCGATTTTTTTTACAATCAAAGCACATGAAGCCTTGTTTTTTGGACAAGCTTTCATAAATCATATTTATCTTATGTTTTTTTGTCACTTAAGCAAGTTTCTACGTGAATGAATAGAAGTTAGACTGATCTTTTATGAAACATTTCCATAGTAGAATGAATGAAATCACGTTTTCTGGATCAAGTATGACAGGATTAGCTGGAAATTACTGACCAGTGTTTCTTGTGGAAATGTAAATTAATTTAGTGTTTATATATTACATGAAACCACATTCTAGAGAATTCATTAATTCTGTATCTATGTACAGAAGAAATTGACGCTACATATATCTTATCATAAAATTTTGGAAGAATTACCAGATTCTACCTCATTTCGCGTTTTAATATTAGTATGGAATGATTTCTTTACTGAATATTCACATATGTAATGGAAATGAAATAAAATGGTTCTTGGAAATTACCGTAGAAATTCATGTAATATATATGCAACTGAAAATTATCGAACTACATAGTCTTTGATGTGAAGGTACAAAATATTAAAAAGTTCAATAGATAAAAATGTTTTTTTATAAGAGTTAATCAATTGAAGCAAATTTATATCATAGTTCAATTTAGTTGTAAGAATGAATAGTAACTGCTTTGTCAGTTTAAAGTGAGCAATGAAATATATTTTCAAGATCTTTGCTCCAGATTATATTGTCTCGAGATTTGTGAATACTGAAAAAGGAACATCTACGTTGCTTCATGGCTCTGTTTGTAGCTCTTCTAAGGCTACTGCTTGTTCAAAATGTGAGTGAAGGAGGAGGGTTGAGCATGGGTTCGGTAACCTCATCCTGTAGAAAACAATCTTGCCAAAAAACACTAGCCACAATTAACAATTTAAAACTTAAACTCTGCCCTGGAAGTTGAAAGAAGAGTTATGCCGCCTCAAGATGAAAGCCAAGATTCTTCCGAAGTCATGAGGTCGATTCTACCTTCTAATAAGCAGAGCAACAATTAATATAGGTACATGGAACGTCCGGACAATATATGAGACCGGGAGGACCAGTCGAGCAGCAAAGCAAATGAGGAGATACAACTTGGCGGTTCTCGGAATCAGCAAAATCCGTTAAAAGAAAGCTGGACAGAAAAGGATAAATTCGTAAGAGATGTTGCTGTACTCCGACCACGAAAAGGAAAATGCTTGAAACACTCAGAGTTCCTCTGATGCTGTACAAAGAAGCACGAAACGCACATATAGAATGGGAATCTCGTGGATTCAGGATCATCAAAGCATCCTTCAAAACAAAGAAGGGGGAAATCATGATGAATGTCATCCACTGTTATATACACAGTAATGATAGCAATGAAGATAATAAAGTTCTACTCGAGGCTGCAACTGATCATAGCGGAGTGCCCAGGAAACGGCCTGACAATCCTGATGAGAAATCTAAACGTCGAAGTCAGAACTGAGAACACCGGGTATGAAGATATCATCGGACATGGACTGACTGGGAGAGGTGTATGAGAATGGTGACAGAGTTGCAAATTTATGTGTATTCAACAAAATGTCTATAGGTAGTACAATATTCCCACGTAAACGTATACACAAAGCTACACTAGTCTCATCGAATCACACTACACAAAATCAGATCGATCATATTTGCATCAGTAAAAAATTACGATGTCGGTTAAGACGTGAGAATCTGAAGAAGAACCGACGTAGCTTCAGATCACCATCTACCTGGTGGTTGCCAGGATAAAACTGAAGCTAAAGAAGTAATAGGCAACTGGACAAACAGCAATACAAAGGTTCAACTCATTCTTCCTTCAGAATACTTGCAAACTCTACGGACTCATGATAACTATCAACAACAGATTTCAAGCCTCACTGTAACGAAATGTATAGTGGCAATCAAGGTCATTATTTTTACTATTATCAACTTTATGGATCACAATGATTTATGAAGGCTATTAATCGAGGGGCCAAAATAGTGTTGAGTGTACTTAAAATTTCCACACGTGATTTTGTTTCTACAAACCAACTTGTTTTAAAATATACACTTTATTATAGACAAAAACAGCAAAATGATATGATCTACTACTCACCAAATGCTCATAAGGTAAATTTTCTTTATGATGAGATTTCTAGAAGTCTCAGAACTCATAGAAGGTCTTAAATTTGACTCTGTACCGAAGGATAAATTTACACTGTACACTAGCTTTCGTTACTCACTTTTCTTCATTTATCATTCAATTGAGATTATTTCTTTATAAAAATGTATGTCATAACAAAAAAGAAATTCACAAAGCTTCAGCTTAACGACGAGGAGTCTTGCGTAAGTGAGGAAAAAAGCCGTTTCTTGAACGTTAGTATATAGATCAAATATAATAATTATTTAATATGATGAACAGCTTGAACACTTTCAAAAAAGTATAAATTGGCATATTCCAATTCTGTATCAATTCAACTTTAAACGTACGAATTATGAGTGACATCATCAATCCTGAAAATAGTAGTATATTTTCTAGCTAAATTGCATATTTTAAGCTTTCGTCTTGGTTATCATTTCACAATTAATAAAAGCTTATGAAGATAATATAATGAACTATACTTTGCTTAATCTCACATACACAGATGCATGAATTTCCAAAAACAAAATTACATTTAATTGTAGTACAACAACATCAAACTAGAGAAACTAATGAAAACTTACAATTAGAAAGCATCGAAATAATCAACATATAATGACTACTCCTATTATTTTTAAAATTATACTAAACCCATTTCAGGAATATTAATTTGGAGTTTTTAGCAAAGCATATCTAAATTAGACTGTGACTTCTGATATCATGCAATGAATCTATTGAAATATTCAATAAATCGAACGCTTTACCAACTAAAAACAACCCAGCTAATTTCCAATCCAAAAAGGTATGTATTTATAACTAGTCCATTATTATTATCATTACTATTATTATTGTTAGTAGTAGTATTATTAAATTGATTAAATCCAGTAAACGATTATTTTATTTTAACATCAGATTGAACGTTTTATTTCCAAATTGTATACCTTTAGGATTTATGAAATTTCTATTTTTGGTTTCTTAAACCGGAAATTTATACTTTTTTTAAGACCTATCATTTAATCAGTATAAGTTAGACCTCTTTTTTCATGAAAAGCGTTAATATAGCAAATCAATGAAACGAAGTTTTGAATATTTAACATTCATATGAGCAAACGGGGGTTTTGTGGAGATTTTAGTAACTTAATAATTGAATTCGTGAGTTAATTGAAGTTAGACCATCATGGAAAACATGAAAGCACTGGATGGTCATTTCATTGTAGTATGGGACTCCTCAGTAGTGCATATCCATGGTCCCGTCCCGTGAGATTCGAACCTAGGACCCATCAGTCTTGCGCGCGAATAATATCTGCTGCTGGCTCAGTGGTCCAAAGGTTAAGCGTTCATGCGCGAAATTGACAGGGACTGGGTTCGAATCTCGCGAGGCAGGTTCGTGGACGCGTACTTCTAAGGAGTTCCATACTAGGATGGAACGGCCATTTAGTGCATTCAGGTTTTCCATGGTGGTCTAGCTTCAGTTGACTCTTTCTTCTAGTGGTCGACTGGATTATGAAGACCTCGACATCTGACGGAAAACACGGAATACAATGGACAGCTCAGAACCAATTAGACGATTTGGATTTCACAGATGACCTAGCCCTCCTATCGCATACGCACGAACAAACGAACATAAAGACAGCCAGTGTGGCAGCAGTCTCTGCATCAGTAGGCCTCAACAAACACAAGGGAAAAACCGAGACCCTCAAATACAACACGGAGAACAGCGATTCAATCACACTTGATGAAGAAACTCTGGAAGATGTAGAATCCTTCACATACCTGGGAAGCATCATCGATGAACAAGGAGGATCAGATGCAGACGTGAAATCGATTAGCAAAGCAAGGGCCGCATTGCTACAAGTGAAGAACATATGCAACTCAAAACAACTGTCAACCAATATCAAAGTGAGAATCTTTAATGTGAACGACAAGACAGTTAGTTCTACAGTACGGAGCTAAAAGGTGGAAAACTACTACAACCATCGTCAAGAAGGCACAAGTATTTATAAATATTTGTCTACGCAAGATACTCAACATCCGTTGGCCGGATATCATCAGCAACATCCTACTGTGGGCGAGAACAAACCAGCTTCCATCTGAAGAGTAAATTAAGAAAAGACGATGGAAATGGATAGGACATATATTACACAAATCACCAAACGGCATCACGAGGCAAACCCTAACTTGGAATCCTGAAGGGAAGTAGAAAAGAGGAACGTCAAAAAACACATTACGTCGGGAAATAGAAGCAAATATAAAAAGAATGAATAATAACTGGAATGAGCTGGAAAGGATTGCTCATCACAGGGTTGGATGGAGAGTGCTGGTGAGCGGCCTATGCTCCTCCACGAGGAGTGACAAGCGTAAATGATCAAGTAACCATAATATTACTGTTTGTTAAGAAAATGTCGGCTAATAGTTTTTTTTCTCTCTCAAAAACATCTCATATGGATATTGATACCTTCAACAGTTAGGCCGAAATTATTCATCTGCCTCACATATCTAAACTAAGAAAATCAATTGATTATACATACTAGTGAAAAGATGTATTATAAGTATATCTCAAAATATAGTAAACTAACAAAAAGTTGACTATTTTATATACTTTTTTTAAAGTATACTTCATACTAGTACAGTGAATATTAATACTATTTGTATTAAGTTATATGATTCAATCTGAATACTAGAACTCAAAATGCATAGATCAGTAAATGTATAATAACTTTATAATTATTCCCATTTATCTGAATAATAAAATAAGATATCAAAAATAGAGTTTTGGAATTTTATCTGACCAATTAATTAATGTTCATTAGATTGTTACTTGGAGTTGGAAGCAGTCGACGTGATGAAGTTGTTACTACATTTGATGTTATTGTTTTGATTGGTTGGTGTGTTTCAATATGTTTTGTTACATTTACATTTTTATCATTACTTTGGTTGGAATATTTGTTAAGTCTCTCACTACAATTGTTATTAGGTACATCACTTTGAAGTGTCAAATCGGTATTTGTGTCAGGTTTTGCACTGTTAGACAATGGATGTGATAAGACTTCGTCAACCCATGCTACACTGCGCTGTGTACTAAAATTAAAAAAAGCACACAAAACAATATGTTAGTTTCCTTTTATCATGTGAATTTTACAAATAAGGATCGGTACATCATTCAGTTTAACAATAATATAATCTTAAAATATATGCTGTGAATATAATTACTAAATTATTTTTATCATTATCAAAGTCAGTGTTTAAAAAAGTACTTCACTATTTAACTCTTTAACAGACTTAATTGAATTGGAATATAAATACGAGGATTTATTTGGATGTCGGTGAGACCATAATTTATGGACGATCTTTGACAGACGCAAGATGAACGTTGTAAGTGTTCACTTAATAACCAGGATCAAATGAGAGTCATAAACCTGTGTGAGGAATTACAATTATGATTCACAGTTGATGATTAAGGTTAGAAATTAGGTTTAGTGTTTCCATCACGAGCTGACATAAATTATAATGCCAAAACTCTATTTATCCGAATGAATGAGTATATTTGTAGTGAAAATCCGAGACGTGTTATCTTATTCATGATTGGTTCGTCAATAAATTATAGTCTCGCCTGGATGTCCATTTCAAAGTTCGTCAAATTGTTATCGGTTAAATAAAGCACTTACGAAAATTGCTATTTGCTAATGAGTCAAGTATACACTGATAATCAAGGGGGTTAAAATGTGGGAACGTGGTATTATTCCATGATTAAATCTAACGTGTTTGAAGCTGTTGAGAATCTGATTAAGATAAGTCAAGAAAAAGGTTATTATTATTATCAAGTTTTGAATGGATGTTACGATCATTTATAACCTCTCTATTCATAAACTTCAATATTTTTTCATTTTCCAACTATGGTAACGTACACTTTATTACCATCCTTTACTTACTCATTTACCTGTCTACCTCATATACATAAATATAATTACTTGCAAAGCACAAATGTCAACCATTTTTATGATACAGAGTTACTCTGATCTCGAGTTACTGTCTAAATAATTACAACTTTACATAATCTGTAAATTCAATCATCATAAAAAACAACATGAGTTTAATTGCTACAAAGTTACTGACTAAAGTGGAGTTTATATACCGAAATTTGTTGATCTATTAAATATACTGTACAAACTGTTATAGCTGTAGATTAAAGAATTTGATATGTAGGCCGATCAGAATACATTTCTCTAAAACTTGTATTATCTCAAAGTTAAAATGATTTTACCATCATAAATTTTGTTATAACTGATTTCTTTTTTTAAAAACATATTACCATTTTTGTTTGGCGAATTGCAATTGGAATCTGAAAAGTATCTTACTGATGAAAACAAGAAAAACGGAATATTGAACAAAGTTTAATATCATGTTTATATAGTCCATTTGATGATTAAATTTTATTGACCAAGTTACGGTATGATCAGATGTGACAGAAAATTTCTCGCACTAAGTCTTAGCGCAAAATGATTGGAGGTAACTGACAGGATTCTGTGGACATACAACACGTTCTAGTTGTCAGTCTTCAGCTACATATTCACTAAGAGGAGATTCATTCCCCTCAATTTTTCACACACTTCATGTTGGTGAAACACACTCATTTGTGACCTGGGTACAGGACTTTCTTCTGACTTCCTCCGGATATCTAGCAACGTAAAACTGAGTACATGTAGACGTTTTTAATAAACTGCACTTGAGTATAAGAATTTTTAACTGTGTTATTTAGGGCTTTCCAATGGAATAATTTTTATTGTAGTTCAGTTTATGTATGTTCAACGGCTTCCAAAAAAGAAAATAATTTACTTCACAGAAATAGGTTATACTGGATAGTCTCTAATGCTGAAAGATTTATGGAGCCTAAGCATGAACTCTTCAATTTATACCCGACAAACTAAAACCTTGTTATACTTGTCATTACCGATGATAATGATATGAGAAGCCATATGAGATGTATAATGCTAAAACTTTGGTGACAAAGTTGCTATTTACATGATGTTCTAATTGAAAACATTCTAACACGTTTACATTTGATTGTAAATGATATAAGAATAACTTCATTGAAGTTACAAAATCAAAGCTGTTCTCGAACTACATGTTCTCCAAATTTAGCTCAAGATTTAATAATTTGGTAATAATACTATAAAATAGTACTTTTCTTTATGTATGAAATTAAGAGTAAACATTCAATCGGTGTATCCTATTATAGAAGATATGAAACCAAAAAGTCAAATTACACAGCTGATTTGATAAAATATGACTGTTTGTATAAATTAAAATCATTTCTTGTATGATTAAACGTTTGAGTGTTGTACGTTAAGTTTGCTTATAGTAAATATTTGAATTACTTAACTTATTCAGGAGATTATCCTTCTACAAATTTGACATCTATAAAAAGCTTTTTGTCTTATGATCATCTTCAACATTGTTGTCCAGTAATTTTTTAGAAACGTTGTGGAGTATCAAGAATAATGTGATAGGCTCTTCAACCAACAGGAATTACATAATAATTCAACTGCTTGTAAAACTGATTATTAACTTACCTCGAATTTCTATTTGTTTTATTACTTCTTTCAGACTTTGAACTTTCATTTATTAGCACGCCTTTAATTTGTTGTTTATCACTAATTCCTTTTTTGTCCTTGTATTTGCAAACACTACGATTTTCATGTTGCTGTGAACGATGTGTCTGAATTCCTTTATTATCTATAATTTTGTTATCAGTCTTTATAGGCAATTCTTTAATACTGTCATTCGCCTTTGTAATATGTACATGATTTCTAATTGCTGGTTTAACGACTTGAATTGGCATTGGTTTCGATAAATTAGATTGGGGGTTTGTAAATGTAGCTTTAGGAGGACTCTTATCTGGATAAATATTTTTTGTAATAGTTGCTACACATTGGACAGGGCAGTCGTTAGAAGTATTAGTCCTTGAAGAAACTGTTGAAGGCACAAAATTAGGAGCTAAGTAGCATTCTTTGCAAAAATTTGATTTATTTAACAGAGGACTTTGTTGAGAATAGTACTGATCACTAACTGATTTTTCATTCACTACGTTTGAATGTTTGTTTAGTTCAGTGACGAGATTTTCCCGTTGGTTTACCCTATCGCTTATCTCACAGTGTTTTTGAAAATTCCATTTGTCAATCGCTTGCCGAGCTTGTAATATACGATCAGAAAATCTTTCACATATCCTGCTGGAAGTTGTCAATCGAGAGTTATAATTCAATTCATTATTATCTAAGGAGGTTTTTGATTTGGATTCTTTCTGTTCATATCCTTTCATTTGGTCTGTTTCACAAGATTTGGATGAATTAAGGTCAGGTATTCTCGAGCATTTTGGCGTATCGTGAAAATAAGTAGATTCTAATGGATTTGCTAGTGTCATTTCACGTGATATAGCTGGAAATAGTAAGCCGCTGTTCAGTAGTTTATTAGTATCTGAAGAAGAGATAGATGGAAATAGATCTATATTATCTAGGTAGTATGAAGTAGAACTTGGTGCAGAATGAGGAGGTGGAAGTAGATCTGCTCTATTACTGATGCAGGAAGGCTGACTGAAAGTAGACTGATTGTAGAATTGGTAGTCATCTTTTAGACACTCGTTTGAATCATCTTTCTGATAATAGGGTTATTATTAAATAAAGTATAAAAAATTAAAGCTATTTATTTGCTTTGTTGGATAGAAAAATTTACTTGATATTGTCAAGACTAATTAGATACGCAATAAATATGTTTTTTCTAGGGTGGAAAAAAATTTTTTGGTGGTTTTCATGAGACAACAATAAACTACACAATTTACTCTTTCCGTCTTTAGATAGTCAAAGAACATAATTATGAACTCACTGATATAGTTAGACCAAAACATTAGACACTTGTAAGCGCTTATGAATGCAAAATACTTACAAACAACATAAGTGAAACAAATAACACTTCGCATTTTGGCTTAAATGTAACTAAATCTCATACAGAATAACTTTACGAATAGAACAACTATGGCAGCATGTTTACTTTTTGAATTTCGTTTCACGTCATTGACCTTTTAAACATTGTTAACTACCACATTTCAAAGGAGTTGATTTTCCAGTTTAAATATTACCTATATTTTCACTTATAAGGAGTGTTTGCTTCGGAATAACACGTTTAAAAATGTACATGCAAAATAAAGAGAACATAGAAATAAACCAGTTTGCCCGGTAGCATAGATCAGAATAAGAAAATGACTTTAAATATACATGTAACGATTATGCTCTACTGAACGCCATTAAGAATGTCAAAAATGCTGCCATTCAAATTGTGATATCTTCAAGTGAGAAAACCCAGTAATTCAGTTTAGCCTAGAACAACTAAGTAATTTAGTTGAGATTATGAGTCAGTTGAAGCTAGACTAACATGGAAAACTTGGAAGCACTGGATGACCGTTTCGTCCTATTGTGTGACTCGTCAGCAGTGCTCATCCATGATCCTGCCTCGCGAGATTCGAATCCAGAACATATCGTTTTCACACACGAACGCTTAACTTCTACACTACAGCGAGTATACAACGGTGTCAATGTCTAATTCAAGTTGATCCACATCCACCCTTGTGTTCAGTGAGTTACTATATCACAACAAACTCAGTTGAGTTCCACTGGTCATTGCTTCTCACTAGAATCCCAGGAATTACTTGTTGAAGACCGTCATCGGTGAGCATATGCTGATTAGTTAATTCAGCTTAACATAGCTTATCATATTACATATATTATACATAACGCCTTTTTATACCTTGGAACCGTAACAGTATTCGTCGTTTTAGATAGTCTGGCTGCTGCTGTGTTTATTAAGTATCAGTATAATTATAGTGTATGATGAATTCTGCTATGGTGAATGTGGAAAAATATGCTATTAGATTTATTTTAAGAAAGTCAGTGAATTTCCTTTCACAGATGTGACATATTCTGTTAATATTACATTACTGATAGGTGTGTCTTTATTTGCCATTTAAAAAATAATCATATAAAAACACGATTTCAATTTAGATTCGTTTTGTCTATCTCCAAAAACGTTTTATTACATATACAGTTACAGGTGAATTAATAATAAACTCCTTTTAATGAATAAAAATGATATTATAAATCCCATTTACTATACATGAAATCGTAGGTATGTAAATGATTCAGTCGCATGAATTATATATGAGTAAATGTACCATATTTAACGTTATCATCGTAATATCTTTCTTCGTGACAAGTCATTATGTAGACTGTAGGTTGCTACCATTTTCTAAATAATATATCCCTGTTACGTATTATGGTAGACCATAACTAACCTTGACAGAGGTACGATTGAGTAACTCTGACCAATACTGTGATTCCATAGACGATATTGATGAATTAAATGCAGAATAATTTTTTTGTTGAAAGTCCTGTTTATAAAAATTATCTGAATTTGTGGTAGGTACTTGACAAACGGATTGCTGAAATGTTCGTTTAAAGATTGTAGCCGCTGTCATTGCTGCTATCATTGCCAATGCTGAAACATTGGATGTAGTATTTGAAATTACATTTTCAGCGTAATTACAACTATCATTATTAGAATAAGTAGGTAAGGAGTTATGTTTCATGAATTTTGGTAAACAAAACTCATGATCTAACCTATTATTAATCAGTTTTCCCTCTGATTCTGCAATGAAACTGGTTTGACATTCACGATCAACCAATGATCTCACCATGTTTGAATTCAGTGGGAAATTGTCAGAACAATGTTTTGTTGTATGAGTTAATCGTGAAGTTGTATGGAGATCCGGTGTGTTATCAACGGGATGATGTGAAATATTTTCACGACATTCATAGCAACCTTGATTGTCAGTCTCTTGATAAAGGTTTTCGTTTTTTGATTTCATCTTCTGTGTTCCATATAACTGTTGCATATGTTGCATAAGTACCAATCTCGATTTCTGGATATAAAAACGTAAATAAATTATTTTAAGACAGAATTTTGAACGGTAAAAATACAAATTTACTTCTGCATATTTAACCTGAGCTATATTCAGTCTATCAACTTTGTGGCAAAAAGGAAGTGTGTTACTTATTTCACTAAATCGATTTAAAAATGAAACTACATATTACCAATAAAGCATGATGTTATTATAAATTGGGTAGTTTTGATAACTTAACATGAATATAAACCACGATAACCTTTTAAATAAAACATTATAGGCTTCGAAATTTACACCATTTCTACATTAATTATGCATATAATGATTTTTACTATGAACAATACCTAATGCATATACATTGTCTTCATTTACATTCCTTCTAAAACTATCTCTTCATTGTAACCAAAGGGTATAGGTTGACTTCATATGTGTATATTATTCCCATTCTTATCATGTTACTCAGAAGAAAATATCTAGAATCTAATCGAAGGCTTTCCTATTTTTAAATAACTTGAGCTAAATATCAATCAAGACAAATAACCTTTTACTTATATCTAACGGATTGGATAGCTGATGTAAATCACGCCCAACTAATAAACAATAGTACAACTATCTAGATTTTTTTGGCAAAAATTAATAAATTATTTGTCAATCACACCCTTGTTAGTCAAATCCTCTTGAATAAAAAAATGATTTTTTTGGGGGGAAATTGTATTATTCAGTAAATGAATGAAAGATGTTCAAAGTATTTCTAGAAGTACTTTACATATCATTTATGAATGTAATTTAAAACTGAAGGAATTGCTTTGTTATTTTATTTCTCATAGTTAAAGTTCAAAATTTATCATGGTTAACATTTCCAAGAACGTATAAGTTATAATAGTGTTGGTAACTAAAAATATCCATATTCTATACTTAGTTTTGTAATTTCAATAGTCGAGATCATGTGTGCATTGAAGCTAGACCACCATGTAATACTTAGTAACATTGAACGGCCATTTCGTTCTATTGTAGAACTTCTAGTTTTGTATTGATGGTCAACCGAATAGAAATACAAATTTAAATACCTTTTTTTAAAAATATTAATCTAATGGTTCTACAAAATAACTACCAGATTAAAGTTGATTATTATAATTAAGAAAAGCAACACTTGAATATATCGATTGAGTACATTATTAGTTACATAATTGTAACGGTTACAAATCAGCTCACTAGTTAGACTGCTATATATATATATGTATATATATATATATATATACATTTGTATCAACTGGTCTATTGCATGTGATATTCAATTTATGATAAATATCTATTTTTCATTCTTACTTAAGCAACGAAAAGAAAAAAATTGAAATAGTATAGATAAAAGTCAAGAAAGAAAAAAAGAAAAAAGAAAAAGAGAAAAAAAAGAAAACAAACCACAGTTTATATTCTAGTCAAAAATTTTTATCTTATATTTTATTAGCACGTCATCTGTAAACATTATTTTTTTTCTTTATAAAGAAAGACATTGGTCGAAATTGTTTGATTAGAACTTTTCTCTTGTGATTTACTATAAATAAAAACACAAGTAGTTTATCTTAAACAAAACAAATTTGGCAGTAGATTTTCTGACAAGTTTAGTTTTATAATTTAAAATAATAATCATGAACTTCTCAGGAAAAAAAATCAGTATAGTTTTCAGATGAGAATTCTTTCAAATATTCAAGATGATGGAGATTTGATAATAATAATAATAATTTACAAATCAAGATAACTGAAACACTTGTATTATAAGACCTTAAAATGTTAAATAAATATATCATTTCATCAGTTGAGATCATGAGTCAATTGAAGCTAGACCAACATGGAAGACTTGGAAGCACTAGATGGCCTTTTCGTCTTATTGTGAGACCCCTCAGCACTGCGCATCCACGACCCCGCCTCATGTGATTCGAGCCCTGGACCTATCAGTCTTGCGACAGGCGCTTACCCACTAGACCACTGAGTCGACATCGAACGGCCGTCTAGTGCTTCCAGGTTTTCCATCGTGGTCTAGCTTCAACTGACTCATGATTTCAACTATTGAAATTACTGAAATCTCCCCAAAATACCCCATCTGATACTAATTAAATCACTGTCTACTAAGATTGTTTTATGTAGTAATATCAGTATTGTACTCATATCTAAATTTCTGAAAAATTTTCCATATAACTAGCAAATGACATATTTCGGTGGTTTAATTATTGCATATCTTTTAATGACACGTAAATAATTCAGCTAAATAGTTTTTATAGTTCTTGATCTAAGAACGTTTAATGGATTTACATTATTATACACTTAAACATCAGTTGATCTGTATATACCATCTATGCAGTGTATATCTGAGATAAAGTTTTATAGTCTATAGGACTTCACGAGTATATTTCATTTCATTTGCTTGAATGAAGCTAACCAAATCACAGGAACTGTCGATGCGTAATAAAATACAAAAGTTAACGGAATCTTGTTAAATATTGTTTCTCCCGTAGGCAAAATAACACTGAAAACATATTGAAACTACATATTATTATTGAGAAGGTTTATCTGTACCTTGTCGGCTCTGTGTACAAAAGAAGGATATTTAGTTTATCATCTCGATCGTGCAATCTGTTTTACAAAACTGCAAGTATATTTGGAATTAATTTCTCAGATTACGTTAATTATATTAACTTGTCAGTATTTACAAAGTAATTTCTATCAGGTTCAAGAATTTTTTTGGTATTAAGCACAACTTTAGTCCGTGGTAACCGGTTCACTTTTTATTTGTCAGACAAATATTTATCTGATCTTTGATAGAGGGCGCTGAGTGTATGTCCCTGAACACTATTACACCAGGACGAATCAGCTGTCATGTACTACCTGGTTGCAAAAGATACTCAAAATGCTATTCATCTGTGAAGAATACCATCTACACTTTTGATACTGTCTACAGTCTCTAATTTATTATTGTGACTTAAGGACAGACAAAAACTGATAGAGAGGAGTGGAACATACAATTTCTAAACTCAAGTACGAAGTTTCAGCCCATAAAATTATTTCCAAAGAAGTCCCTTTTGAGTTCTTTATTTTATTCGCCATAAAGTTCGAATTTTCGGAATCTAAGCACCCTTGAACGACTGACAGAGGAAATATTAAACCCAGATCTTCCACTCAGTTTTGCAACTAAGCTTTATTTAACGCGAAAATTTATGAGGCTGTGGAATTTGTGTTTATTCACTCAAAAGAGAATAAAAATTTCTAGTTAATTAATGTTTCATTAACTTGAATCATTAACAAATAATGCATTCTGCAATGGACGAAAGGGCTATTTAATTACTGAAAATACAACGGACCAACATAGTATAATCAATTACCTTCAAACTTTGTATCCTTGACATCAATTGCAATTGTCGATTTCTGAGAAATTCCAAGCGTTCCGTTAACTGAACGTTATTCAGCTGGTATATTTGTTGAGAGCCCTCGGATGATGGTTCACAGTCATTTTTACACCAGGATGATGAAGTGCTAGAACCAGATATACTAGCGTTATGATGATGAACACTACTACATGAAGCTATTTTTCTTTGAAGAGCCTGAGGCGATTTGAAGGAACTTTGTGTTATATTTGAATGTTCTTTTAAAAGGCTAATCGCATCATTAGTTTTCACACTTTCAAATTGCAGTCTTTCTATCTCTTTTATAATTTCCCTGAAATTTGAATATAAACTATTATTCCATCAGATAACTGAAACCAACTACAAAACCACTTTATTTAAATGAAGAAAAGTGAATAATTTTCCTTCAGTTGGGACATATGGCACTGTAGCCGATTTAATGAAAATTTAAAACTCTATGCCAATAAATTGCTAGACGACTTTCAATATGGGGATAAAGTTATTTTTGTCAATAAGATACTAGTAGCTAGACCACTTGATATGTTATAGATGTTCAATATTGAGGTAATTAGTGAAAGGAAACGTAAAATAAACTACATAAAGTGATGCATCAAACATGAAGATATGAAAAATTCTTGGCTTCTCATCTGCTTAGTAACTGTGGTGATACAATTCACGCACTAGTTTAGAACCCCTTGATTTCACATTATTGATGATATATTTTGATTCGTTATGACCTAAATTTTACATGCAACAACGTTACTGGGTATGATATTACCATAAGGCATTGTGTAATATTTTACGCGTCAAAGTGTGGATACTAGAATTAACAAGATCAATAGCCTCCTAACCCGTAGTGTTTCAATATGGACCAACAGAAATCTTTGTTTTAACATCATTATTTTTGTGTCGAGTCTATTGCCATATATCCTCTGGACAATGAACATTAGATAACGAAAAGTAATAGTATAAAATTATTATTCTTTCTGACAAAAAAGTAACATCACTGTTCATTACGAATTAGATAGTAACGCAAAGTTTTTACAGTTAATGAAATAAATATAATCATTGAATGAAATGTATATTTAAAACAATTAGTCCCTTTGATAAGTTTCGATAATGCAATAAGAAGACAAAGTTTATCAGAATTATGTGATATATTTGCACAATACATTTCGAACAATCTGATCACACATATACTTGTTAAGAACATTTATATATGAGAATTAAAAAGTCAACTGGACAAGTTAAGGGTAAGTCATAACAAAGGAAAAATAATAAAGTACACAAAAACAATTGTGATTACCACTCTGGATAATAAACAAGTATTACCAGGGTAGGTTAAGTGTAAGCACAAATTGTTTTTAAACACACAAAGGGGGTCTCAATTTCCGTATAGCCAAGGCTTTAATAAACCTTAGTATACGTCCTTTAAAGCTTTTGTATAACACTACAAATGCTGATTCGATGTCAACCTTATGACCCGTCTCAATCAAAGTTTCGCAACGGAGGATGATTCCTGTCTATCCTGTGATCTTATTTGACCATTGGAATTCATCTGATTCTCCAACCATTTTGTTATATGTTCACCCACCCTTAATTGTAAATCACGATTGCTCCTTCCTATGTACGTGTTTCCACACATACATGTAAACTGATAGACACAATGGGATGTGACACAATCGCTTTCGTGCTGTTTCGGTTTTTGGTGAAACATAGACCTTATCTTTTCGATAATGACAAGTTGGGGTGCATAAAATGTCCTGTTGATAGCTAATTTAAGTTTCCGTTTCAACATGAAACATGAGTATATTGTAAATTTACTAAACAAAATATGAAAGCTTTAATTCATTTTCCTATTTATCATTATCGTTTTGAAAAAAAAGAAAACTAATTACCATAATAGGCCTTTGTCTTGATAGGATGCAGTTTGAAACAATGAAATTTAATAACATTCAACTGAATGTAGAGAACATCATCTTCAATAATAACAACAATACGAATAGTTTTACAATGATTTGAGACAGACTACATTTTATTAACATAATGATATTCTTTCTTGTCAAACTGATTATTATTTCAATAAATTAATATTAGCTTTTGTAAAGATATTAACTAGTGGTCAAATTGAAGATAAATATATATCTGATGGGTTTTTGTGGAAATTGTAGTAATTTCAATGGTTAAGATCATGAGTCAGTTGAAGCTAGACCACCATGGAAAACCTGGAAGCACTGGACGGCCGTTTCGCCCTATTGTGGGACTCCTCAGCAGTGCGCATACACGACCTCGCCCCCTGCGAGATTCGAACCCAGGACCCAGTAGTTTCGCGCGCGAGCACTTAAACACTAGACTATTGAGCCGGCATCCAATGGTGTTAATGTCGAACTTCAACTAATTCACGAAATTGAGCGACACATTCACCAATCATATATCTAATAACAAGAAAACAACATCTAGTTGTACGTGACGGGTATAAATTTTTTTTTAAAATGGATGAAGTAGGCAACAAAAACAATTATTACGTTTTATAAAAAGATGTTTGAAAAATTAATAGTGTGAGTGAAAACATAGTAAGCACTAACGTGTTATTTTGGCCAGAATAATATATGTGGGTGAGACTATATATATGCTGTGAATATAATTACTAAATTATTTTTATCATTATCAAAGTCAGTGTTTGAAAAAAATGTAGTTCACTATTTATCTCTTTGACAGACATAATTGAATTGGAATATAAATACGAGGATTTATTTGGATGTCATTGAGACTATAATTTATGGACGATATTTGAGAGACGCCCGATTGACCCTGAGAGTGTTCACTTAATAACCAGAATCAAATCATAATAGTCAAAAGGGATGTTCTGTATAATTTATGTTACTTTTTATTGCTTCAGTTTTCAAGTGATCTTAGTTTATGTTTATTGCCTATGTATACTGGGATGTCAGATTATGTAGATCAATATAGTTCAAATGTTAAGCAACTACCATACTTTCATATCCAGTGATTACAGTTTCGTGCATAAAAAAATTATATTTTTTGGATAACAAATATTTCGCAGATGATTCGAAGCTTCTGTAGATTCGAACTAAACTTATCATGAATGACATAAGCGTGATCGACATACAAATTCATGCTGAAAATTATTAATCCATCTACCTAACCTTTACTTCTATTAATTGGGGCAGAGACTTTTGCCTATAAATTGATTATCGTTTAACACCTAGTCCATAAACTCTTATTGGATTATCAAGTCCAAATACCTAGTTCTCTGGTTGAAATCAAAACCATTCAATGTACAAAACTGATTATTCTTTAAAACAAATTATCAAACAATCTAAAAAAGTCTAATGTTTCCTTAAAATCTGAATTTGAATTTTAAAAAGATTACTAAATACACTACCTGTTATATGCTTCTATTTTAAGTATCATATTCTTTTGTTCCTCTGTGAAATTAGTTGTGGTGACATCACCAGTTGTATCACTATTAGAGATCTAAAATAAAAGAAATTATAAATTATATTTATATTTGTTAAAGTATGTAATTTCAACAGAGTTAATTGTATTCTTCAATCAATATTAATGATCATCTTATGGACGGTTCAAGCAATTATACTGGATCTTTGTTTTCGCTCAAATATTGGCTAGTGCAACCAAAACAAATCATGATTAGTTTTTAACGAATTATAATTGGAAAATCTTTATTTGATGTGCACTACACTATTTCTTGCTGAGTAACATAATTGCAACGTAAATATAAGACATTTTGATGATGATAATAATAAGAATATAAGGATTGTGAATGAACGTGTAAATCCGAGTTTAAGGTTGTGAGTTACTAAAAAGAATAAATAATATGATACATTCATACAAATTGTTAGGGGCAATTGACATAATACCATAGAATTTCAGAAATCTTGCATTAATGAAATCTGAATACACTTTTAATTTTTCATTTTCACTTTCATCAACCTATACGATGGGGTTTATAAATGGGTTTATAATATTACATCTGTTAAATTACTCTGACCTTCTCGAATCAGTTATTTGTAAAACAACAAAAAGGATTCCTATTCTAGTGAAAAGACCACTAGTTTTGATCTGCTCCTAAAATTAACATTTTTCAACGTTTAGTAAATCTATAATGTTTATTGAATTTCTTTTCTGCATCATAATGACCTCTTTGAAAGTTATTAACTTAGGTCATGTAGTCATTCTGTCAAAAAATCACTAATCCAGCTCTTTTAGTATCTTGTGGTGTCGGTTGCTATGTTAAGCCAACATAGCTTCCGGACAAGTCAATTTATTCATCTATCTTGAGTCACATTTTGATCTCGTTAAGTATACGCTTATCAGCCTTGATTGTTATTACATGAGTATATGTGTTTGTATTTCTCATCTTGCTCATCACATGTTTGTAACTTATATTTATGTGACTATTAAATTGAGTTGGCTCTCACTGCATATCATTTTATTTCACTTTGTTTCTCTGATCGTCTGTCTGAAAAAATGATTGTATGAAATAGAGGTATTCGAAATTCATTTTCATATTCGACTTATTTAATTCCGTTGTTCACCAACGTGAGTTAATTCGATAATAATATACGAGGATTAGCGATGTGTATAACTTGATAATTAGCATTATACGATCAAACTGGTCACAGAAGTCTTCGTTTGAAGTATAAATGCAGATAACCTATGTGTCACTGAACTTGTAAAATATAATTTTATTGTTTTCTTTTTCAGAAATCATATCATTGTACACTTGAACTAGAAATCATTGAGCCTTAATATGAAAACATTTTTTTAATGACGAGTTATCTGATTTCACTTCAAAATATATGTGAATTGAGCTAAGAGCATAAACACTTTACAAAACTAGAACTTATGAAGGTAGTCATGATGTTTGCATGGACTTGAATTTTATTATTCTATGTTGTATAGATTCATGTATTTAAAATGGAAATTCTTTATTATTTAAATTTATTGTAAGTAGTTAAACTGTTTGCCATGGGCTACTTACGAACGACAACTTAATATAACATTTCTAAACGTTCAAGCTTCATAAAAAGCTCCCAATGGCCAATTTATTTTTTATGCGAATTTGGTATGGTATCTCTGCACGAGTTTTAAACATCTCATCAGCATAATAATACCTAAATCAAGGAATGCACCTAAAACTGACTTCTGCTACTTAGCAGACTATGGTCAGTTAACTGAACTGCAATGTCGGATTCAAAAAGCAAGTCGTCTATTATATTTGAAAACGAGGAACCACTAAAATTTCCACGACACGAGGTAAAAGCATAAAAGACTGTTCACTCTAAAACACGACAACCGTAGTTGAAATTATACTCATTTATATATTGATTGTACACTGAAGCACTAGACTGTCGATTTAACCAATTGTGGGACTCCTCAGCAGTGCGATTTACAATCTCGCACGAGAGACTAGAACACAGCATCATGGATGTGCACTGCTAAGAAGTTTCACAATAAATCGAATCATCCATTGAGTGCTCCCAGACTTCGTTGGCCGTCTGGCTTAGATCGACTCATGACTTTAACTGTGAAAATGCTACAATCCCCGCAAATCTTCCATACTGATAAACAGATACTAATCGAAAACTAGTTTTTTCCCATTGATTTTTTATTTTTATTTGATGTTACAGAGTCATTATTGAGACTCTGATGACAAACTTAGTTAAGATGGTGAAATATACTTGAAGACTAGACAGAAGATTTTTAGGATATTTTGTTCTCCGAGCTGGATAATTTAACCATCAAGCTTTCATTCCTTTACAATTAACTGGCTCCTTGTTTTTGAAACCTAGAATTTTGTTTGTTTTTAGTTCTTATAGGTGTGTGGACAATACTTGCATGTTTTTTTCGATTGTTTTTTCCTTTCATTTGATCTCTGGCTTGAGGTTGTTAATGTTTTTCCTGCTCACAGAATTATTTATCCTCAAAATCATAGTGCTGTCGAAACATTATTGTGTTGTTCATTTGTAGATTTATATCTAACAACATATAGCAAATGATAGTGTTCAAACTAAAGGTGTAACAGAGGAAATGAACGCGTTATTGACTTTGATAAGTAATTTTTTCTACCAACGAAATTTAAATTAACTATTTTTCATTATATATCCAAGTACATCTAGTCAAGTGTCGCTTATTTGATCAATACCTTAACGATTAACTTCATGTTTACACAGTAATATTAAATAATAGTGTTGATTTAAAAAAAAAAAAGAATAATCACTCAATATTGACAGTGACATGTTTTATCCTGTCCTTTCAGATCTAATCAAATTCCATACATCAAGTTGCAGTTTGGATACTGGTCTAAGATATCGCATGAGCTGTACCGTAGACTAACTCCGACCACTTAAAATCTCAGCATAGGGAATTAAATGTAGAGTCACTAATCACTTGTCAATGCATCTCAGTCATACAGAACGTTAATCGCAGTTTATATGGTCCAGTGAAGCTGGATAATAATCGATAGAAATCCTCAGCAAGCGCTAGTTACCTTACGATCACAATTACATATCTATCATGCACTCTGAATAGTAAGAAACCTAAGTTTAATGTTCCTTGTAAACTACATACAAGCACCTAATATCATTATTTTTTAAAATAACAGAAAGTAAGATTTAAAGTTGGGAAATAATCAATAAAAATATTGAATTAGAACAATGGATTATATTATTTCCATTGTTTTCAAATGAAATCAACTGAACTCTCTACTTCTACGGTAAAGCCATTCACGATTTAAGCGATTTCAACAAACTAGAATGATTTTTGAAACAAAGAATCAATGTAACTCTTGACTTGTTTATTTATCCTACATTACACTGATAAATTTCAGATCAAAACCAAAATAATGTTGTACAGATTACCTAGTGTATACTTTTTGATTAAACATTCTATATGCTTTTCTAATTTTAATCGAACAATAAGAAAATTTCATATTTTGATTAAGTTTTGTTTTCACTGATTGAAATCATGTATTAATTGAAGCTAGACCACCATGGAAAACCTGGAAGCACTGAACGGCCGTTTCATTCTAGTATGGAACTCCTCAGTAGTGAGACCGTGATTTCAATCGGTGAAATTTCTAAAATCTCCACAAAACCCCTTCTGATCAGTTATGTTTTATTAGTAAAAGTATGAAACTTTTAAACAGATTCGTGAAGTCAAGTGGATAAAAATTTGACACTTACTTTGAAGAGTAGTTGCTTATAAATTAAATTATATTATGGTGATATTTATTATTGGATAATTATAGACTGTTATGTGTCTTTTTTAAGTCATAATAACTTATCGTTCTAGTGGAAATGTATTTCAGTTGACTAGTACATTTGTTAAAATGTTTCAGTGTAGTAACAAGTAATGTAAGTAGAACTCTAGGAAAAAGTATTTGGTATGGTGAAGAAGAATTTTAGCTCAGCTGGATGATTTTGATGGAGATTTCTTCTCTGAGTTGGATGGTTTGGTCGTGCAGCTTTCATCGTTTTTCTGAATGACATCATTAGCACAAATTCAGATAGAAGTGAAGTGTTCGAATTTCTCCACATGTGTTTCACAGTTTGTCCTGTAGACCTCGGTGTTGATTGGTTCTTGTTGACCTTAAACCTGTCATTGTTTACTTCTTTATTTTGACTGCATCTCTCATTGCACAAGCTGTGAACTATATGTGGAGAAGTTTGAACAATTCACTTCTACCTGTAGTTTGTGCTGATAACGATAACGATAAAAGCTCCACGACCAAACCATTCAGCTTAGAGAACAAAACTTCATCATAATGTAATTGGTTTTATAACATTAGGTATTTTCATTACCAATTAAACATCTATCAATCAAATCTGGATTCTATTTGCTTTACGTTTTCGTCTAAAAGCCCTAGATACTCTTAAAACTTATATCTTTGAATTGAATCATGAGTTTTCAATTTATTTTCTATGTTAAATTTAGCATTATGAAAATTCCCTAAAGGTGGAATAACAAATTAATGTGGCTATTTTTGGATTTTTAAAAGGTATATGAAAAACTTATACATAAGTAATTGTCTCAGACGATATTGAAAAGACCAAAATTAGCTTTCTTTCTTTTAAGCAATATGAGTATCTCACTAATAAAAATGATTTCTAGTCTGCTTTGGGACAAAAATTGCAGCCTTTAGGCTTTGAATATTATCAAGTCAAATATCTCACTTCCATAGTTTGTATAAATAAAACTGAAAAACCTTTTCATTATTATTATTTTAAGGATTTATCATAAGCGTTTATTAACGTAATTTACTTAGAAGATAATAACATTCCTATCTTTTACTGATGGATTGTACCTAAAATATTATTCAATGGGGATTTATTATCGTATTATTAGGTAGCAAATGATTATGTGCTTTCAACCTTATTACTGAACATAAATCTATTAGAATAAATCCATAATTTATATCCGTGTTGAAATGCTTCCATTGAAATCTACAAACTGTTTTGACTTGATTTAGTTTATAAATTTGAAGATGGTAAAACACACTTTAACTAACTTATAGTCTCTTTACTAGATGGGAGTGTATATGAAGATAGAAATTGTGATATTTGATTTTTATTAAAAATGATGAAATTGTCCATAACTTAAATATCAACGAACAAACTGAAGTTATAACTGAGAACATTCCATTACTCTTATAACTAAATTATATCTATTATACCTTTTACTGATGGTACAAGTTTATAATAATATAAGTCAGTAACAAGTGTTCCGGAATAGTACTGAATGTAAGTCAAATATATTGATGGGGTTTTGTCCACTGAGCTGGATGGTTTGAGCTGACGATGTCGTTCAGAAGAACAATAAAATTTTCACGACCAAACCATCCAACTTAGAAAATAAAACTTCATGAAGATCATCCACCGGCGCTACAAATCTTCTCCACCATCTCATATGTTGACCTTCTTTGTTTTTGGATTTAACATACCAGTCATGCATAATTGCATTTATTTGCTTAATACATAGAAGTATATAAAGTGTTATTTTTTTAATGTATGTCTACCCTCAAAATGTGATTATAAAACTATTACAATGAATTATCAGCTATTCCACTGAATGGTCAGAATAGTTTCGTTAATCAAATTACACACTCTGTTAGAATTGAATAACCTTTAGCAATCTTCTTGCCATCAAGCTTAGCCAACAACGACACAATATTATCTATTAGTTAAAAAAAATTAAACTCTTATAAAATCCCTCTTGGCAATCTAGTTGATGATAGCCCAACTCATGAATAATATCACTTTTTAAATTGTCAAAGTAGCCCAACAGCTTTGAGGTTATCAATGCTAAGATTAACCTGACCATTCAATGTTTCATAGTTACTTATTTCAATTTAAATGTTTCATTCTTTCTAACACCAAAAAACAACTAATGAACCCTTTTGACACACTAATTTATCACATAATACATATATACTTACAGTGAGAATAATGTTTTTAAGTCATATTTATCAAAAGGAAATGATTACATTAGTTGTTCGATAATTTCGCTTACATATTTCTACAGTTGACTTTCTTATATTTTTTATAACTAGTTGAATAACACATATGATTCTTCATGAATCTCTATTATATTGTCTTATTTCAATGTCATTAAACGTTACCCTCACTTTTATGGATTATCTTATACAAAATGCTGAAAGACAGTATTCACGTACCTGCAAAGTGCATGGAGAAAGCAAAGGCTCATTTTTGATTCTTCAGCCGAATAACACTGATGAACTATTATATTGTTGAAGATATTAGTTTTCCAGCTATACAGTTTAATAATTAGCAGTTTATGAGCAATGTGCCTTTGGAAATATATACTTGGAATACTTATGAATTAGAGACTTGCGAGTCGATTATTGATAGTGTAATATTATATTATTATGTTGCATCATCAAGGTTCTCCTACATTACGTTTTGTAGCTTTAAACTACCGCATCGTAGTGATTTGCTACTCACTAATCCATGCATTATAGGTTTTTAGTCATCCTTTGGTAGTATATTTCTATTAACTATGTTTTGTCAATCTAATAAATCACCATGTTTTGAATTGTCAGGCTGATATTACAAACTGTGGATTCTAAGATGCTGAGATCAGATTCCAACAGTTAACTGGTAAATAAAAACTCTCGTTATCGAAGCAAATGATTCCTAACAATAGTCTTAACAGAATATAATTACACAACATAGATGCTGAATAAATTCTGGATGACTGCCATATAAGAAAGCGATACACTGGACAAATAGATATCCGAGGTATATCAGACTAAGATAAATTTTATTCAGAAATACTTAAAGTAAAACGAACTACCTAGTGAACATATTTCTGTATAATAAGAACAGTTAAACTCAACTTTTCTGTAAAATTAGCAACTTTGAGTTATTTACTTGTTATTTTATTAGCTAAGATAATTTATTTCACAACTCACATGAATACAATACATGAAATATATGTATAGATATATATGCACAGAGCTAAATAATTTCCGTTTCACTAATGGAATTATGCAAAAGCGTATTACTGATTTATTATTTAGTTTAAACTACTGAGCACATGAACGTTTTTTCCACACATTTGTTAGTGATCATTTAATTAACAACGCGAAGTTGAAAAAGGTTTCAGTGAAAAATCTAAAACTCATATTTTGTTCCATTCCTGTTAGATTGTCTGAACATGATAGGGAAGCGTTTACACGTTTAAATTAAAACAGATTACTTAATGCTTATAATGCTTAAATTTTAGCCACAAGGCTCCTTATTAAACAGCTTTGTGAAAAGTTCGTATAAAACAAAATGCATGTTCTGGTTTCAACTGTTTGAAACTAATCAAAATATAGTCGATTTAGAAAATCTGTGCTACTTTTGAATATTTGTTCAAGGATTGTATTTTATTGAGTTAATCTTGAATCTTCACAGTTTTAAACCTGAAATTTTATCAATCATCATGCTATTAGGAACGAACTGATGATTGCATAACTTTGTTTATAGTAGTTGATAAATAACCATATGTAGATATACTTTGATATGTAACTTACCTGTAATGAACAATGTGGATTTCGTTGTGAATTATCCATATCTGAATTTTGTTCAGATTTACATGTACAACGACAAGTACATTTAGCAGTGTTCATATTTTGACCAAAAAATCATTCAATTGAAATATAGTAAAACATGTATAATAATCCGTTGAAATTTTATGAAATCTCTATTCATAAACATTCTGTTTTAAGAAAAGACTGTTAAAAGAAAATATCTTCTAGTTAAAATTCCTTTGAATTACTTGTTTACTAGAATCTAAAATGATACAAATTTGCAGTAATAACATTTATACCAGGACATTTTTATTTCCGTATTTTTGATTTGTTAAATTGTCAAGGTCACAAGTATCCTAACGAATGAGAAATATATTAAAATATATAGAATGAACCAAATATATTAACTTCTATTATGTAATGGAAATATTCAGTTGCTAACCATTTTTAATATGTGTATAAATTGTAAATTTAGTTAGATTTATTCGAAGCACGTATATTAACTTATTGTCTGTAATTAGATGCTGCTTATTAGAAACACAGAAAAATTCTCTTGCTTTATTATTTTGATATAATGACTTATTTCAGATGGATTTTGTGGAGATTGTAATAATTTCAATGGTTAAGATCATAGGTCAGTTGAAGCTAGACCACCATGAAAAACCTGGAAGCACTGGTAGGCCGTTTCGTCCTATCGTGAAACTCCTCAGCAGTGCGCATCCACGACCTCGCCCCCTGTGAGATTCGAACCCAGGACCTACTGGTTTCCATGGTGGTATAGCTGCAACTGAGCTAATAGAGGTATTTCAAGAAATATCGATACAGCTTAGCACCATATATCTATGACAAAAAATGGTCTGCTAGTTCAGTTCATCCAATTAGATAGTTTTATTGCTGAGTAGCGGTAAAATAGTACTTTGATAATATCTTTTAATTGGTAAATTTCTTCAGTCTATGAAAAAAACCCCAACTGGTATATTATGTATTTGTTTTGAACATTACGATACACTTTATAGTTTTATTTGTACATTGACTAATACTTGCAGAAATAGTTGTTCATTTCTAGACTAAACCATGATAATCATCAACAACGATAACAGTATGTAACTAACCCATACCAATCATGTCAAAACACATTGTACAATTTAGCCCATATCAAGACTTAATAGCTCAGTGTTCATTTAAATCAAAAGGCTTTGAGTATGAATATTAACAAACATCAACACTAGGATTCGGATAAATAAATAAATAGCAAAAAATACCCTCTCTATATTCTAATACTAAGCACTTTGAATCTCATTCATTAGTTGACAGAAACAACTCTTATACATATTACATATTTTGACATATATATTATAAAAAATGTTTTTATTAACATACGAATCTACAATAACATTTTAATAGATCTTAATGTATCGACATCGTTATGAACAATGATTGGATCCAGTCAGATTGAAATAAATATGTTGTTTTAAATAATAAAGTTTTAGTAACACATTTTATTCATAGAAAAAAACTCACTTAAATATAGGCATAAACGTAAAGTATCTGTAGTGTTTGAATGAACTAATGATACCTTTGCATTTGTGAATGCTTAATTTTGAATTCTAAATACAGTATATTCGTTTGTACTTATTTAGTACTTCTTGATCCGATTACGTTATTTCTGAGATTCTTAGTTTGTACTATAATTCAAATACTTCCGAATATCATAGTATCACAAGTTATTTTCAAGGCATACATTTTACCATCTGTTCACAGAAACAAAACAGCTATGAAGAAAATAGTACATCATTATAATGATATAGTTCTGAAGGACGTTCTTATAAATATATATATAGAAATCATCATATTTGTAACGTTCAATTAATTACAAACAAGGTTCATTCTTGCCTTATTTTTATTCAATAAAAATAAATAAACTTTGAGGCAATATGAATTTCTTTTTTGTTTTAATGTCATTAAACTTTATTTTCTTTATCTACGTTGATATAATGACCCACTTTGTTAATAAGAAATTTATACGACCTAGAATGTTGTGACTTGTTCCATTTTCGTTAATATGTAGATTATAAAATTGCTTTATTGACTACTATCTGATCATTAAAGTCATTAAAATTGTTGCTTTTTTCCTAATAAGTATATAGTCCCATTATTATCTATGTATAAATTGAAACAGGTCTAATTGTTTGAAGAATGAGAGCATTTACTTTGAGGGTTTACATAAGACAAATTGTTCGTTTATAATAAACATGAACAAAATAAATCCGTTTGATGAACTGAAATTTGTTCTGAGTAAATAGAATATATGCGTTGCGTTTAAAAGTGAAATTAAAAAAGCGTGTTTCATCCTATTTGCCATTTATCAACTGGATGTGTCTTTAGCCCTCTGATAATGCTCCCATAGAGACTTGAACCGAACATATATGTTTGGAAATATGATTATTTCTAGGCAATCTTTACAGAACGCACATTTACCAGTAAAGACCGATCGAATTTTAGCTATTAGTATCATCCAATAAATACTTTAAATCTATGAAAATAGTTCTTGCAAGGTGTTATCTTATCTCAGTTACTGTTAACGATACACTTATGATCACTCAACACTATGTAGGATGTTATAGTTTACTAATAGCCATATTCATAAACACTGTCAACTCATTTTTTGTTCACATACAAATAATAAGATGAACACTTACTCATTAGTTCGGAAAACCATAGTTTTCTTGTTTAGCATTTGATCACAACAACTTGTTGTGAAAGCCATAACTTAATAAAGTGCCGGATAAAATCAGACAGAATCATTTGAGACGGCTACGTCCTGTAACAAATATTCGGTAAAATGAATTAAACTTATACAAAATAACAAATGTTACGCATTGTCTAATTTATCTGAAATAGATGTTGTCTATGTCGTCGAAACGTGAGAGAATAATTCCTACGAAAAGATTGTTGAAACTGTGAAACCTTGACTTTAAATTCTCCAGCTTATTTTCAAAAATCAATATAGTATTTGTTTGTTTATAAAAAACTTTCACTTTGTGTTTTTTCTTTAAACCACTCACATAAGTTATTCTCAGCATTTCTATTCTTTTTAACATCATTCAGTCAGTCAGCTACAATGTAGGACAAGGCACATATACGCATCGGGTGCACGTTGCTATACCTCATTAACACAACAAGATGAACACCGGATTCATAGAAGTAGTTAACTCAGTGATGGTAATATATAAAAGAAAGACTGCATATAAGGACATAGTACAAGAAGAAAGAATTAGTTCGTAGAACGAAAGGTATGAAGCGATTTTAATCTCATAGTTTAAAGGAAGACAGGAAGTGTATTTACCGATGCCATTTTTTTAACATGACGTTTATCAATTATAATGCATTCATGTTAACTGTATTATTAGTTTGTATTTGTGTTTATTTGTTCAATGAACTTATTATCCTTGTGTTTGCAATCAAGTGTACTCTCGAAAAATACAGTGAAAACTATTTCAAACTTCCAAGATTTGGCGTTTACGTTATATTTCATAACAATTCTTCACGAAATAACAGGTTTGAAAAACAATGATAGGATACTTCGTTGAAATATCATTTTACTTTTGACTCTAACGAAAATCAGATACATTTGAATATACAGAATATATGTGTTATGTCATATGTACTATGTATTATATTCCATATTTAGTCCCAGAGTAAACATCTACTCTAGGATGCACGTGCATCCAACAGAAGTGTCTCAATTAGTGTGAAACTTGAGTCCTGTATTTTATTACGATCTACATTCTAACTATTCTTATGTCATTAGTTGTAATAATTAAGCGATTATGAAATTTTACATTTTCAATTTAAACTTTGCAGACTGAGTTACAAACTGACTACTGAACTGTTAAGCTGACTCACTACCATTTATTTATTTTTGATGTTATAGTTATTTAGGGAAATTATTATTAGCGTTGAGTAGACGTGGCACCTATTGAAAATTAATACGTCCTCACCGTGTGTTTTAAAATGTCTCAACAGGAATACATAATGAACTGAAATTTGATATTTTAGATCCAAAAGTAATGATAATTAAAACATATGGTATTACGGAGATATTAGAACAGATCAAATGTTGTTGTTTAAAATTAATGGTTTAATTTGGATGCATGGTCAGGCCTTTCTTTCTAACGGTTAAACAGTATATGGAATGTTTGAGTTAATCACCTTTATGATTGGAAATAGTTGAATTCATTAGTCGATTGAAGCTAGACCACTACAGAAAACGTAGAAGCACTAGATTGCCGATTCGTCTTAGTATGGGGATACTCAACAGTGCGCACCCACTATCCCGCCCCCCGCGAGATTTAAACCTAAGACCTACAAGTCTCACGCGTGAGCGCTTAACCTCTAGACCACTGAGCCGGCATCCAATGGTGTTAATGTCTAACTTCGAATACTAGGATCAGGTTTTCCATAGTGGTCTAGCTCTAATGGACTCATGATCTAACCTATTGAACTTACTATAATATCCAGAAACCTCTCTCTGATTATATTTTTATCGAAATATAAAAAATAACTGAAATTTTTATTGTCAGAACTATTATGATTTCTTTTATTGAATTTAAATAAACTTCTCACTAAACAATATAAAATGTATTTGCATTCATTGTAACTTATTATAGCTGTCATATATATATCATACATAATTCGTAAAACTACCACCACGGCATTCCTTTATTGAATTATTAATTGATTGAACAGAAAAAAATAAATAGTAAACATACACTAAACAAAATTATTAATAATTTATTATTCAATCAGTTTACCAAGGAAAAACAAAAGCCAAAATCGATTGTTTATTTTACCTTCAATTTGTTAAACTTTATTAAATATTTCGTAGTAATTTAATTGTTACTAGCTGTTAATTGGTTGAAATCAATTTCTTTATTTCTTTGAAGTTAAGTTTATGTTTGCTTATAGTTGTCAAGCGTACTTGCACTTTTGAGTTAAGTGTAGATCTTAGTGGAATTGCATTCATACCTCATTTAATTTTATTCTCAATAATATTATAATTGAGTCAGTTGTTCTATGACTATGATACTAGCTCAGTGATAGATACCTTTGGACAAATCATTGATAATAGATGTCAGTTGAGGACCACATTTGTGAGTAATGAATGTGATACTGTAGGCTGAGAGTTTTTTCCTGTCGACTAGAAAGCATTATAAACAGTCGTATCAGAAATAAATAAACGATAACTTGGTCGATAGTATTCGATGTG